CCCCCCCCATCACCGTGGATTAAGGCGCCTCTGTTCGATAGCAAACTAAACCTCCGCAATCCAGATCGCTGCACAATAAGGAGAACCATAAATGATTATAAATCACTTGTAACAGCGCCAACATTCTGTCAGAAAATGCCTTTTAGGGCACTCCCCGCCTACTTAGCTATAGAGTATTTTGTAGATGTTTATGAGCAAAGCACTTCTATGGAGTATGTTGACCCCTCTCCGCCTCGTCTCTACATCACCCTGACTGTGAGCAACAACCAGCATCAACCAACCTTGAGGCCCCATGTCCATTCTTACACCCTGCCTTTTTTTCACGCTGAGCTCTCCGCCGGTTATGCAAACTTCATCTATCTCCGACTATCAAAGGAGATTCTTTTATAGGTCTGCATGCGGAAAGCAGTCATACATGCATCCCCATCGACACAGACCACATGGTAAGGGAGGGGCTAAAAGTAACCGTATGAAAAAGATAAGGATGATAAAAACAACGAGCAACAATGATGACGTCATTGAAAAAGATAAGGATGACAAAAACAACAAGAGCAACAATGATGACGTCAAGAACAAAGAGAGTAAGCATCCAACAAGGAACCACACCTTCGGATTGGTATTGAATCTCTGCATTAGAATTTGCCGCTCCTCAGGTTTTGTGCTCCCATCAAGCCGCATATACCTGCCGAAGATAGGGAAAACATATTAGCATGTTTACTCCAGGAAAGCAAAAAACGGATGACATTACAAGCAAGTCAACATCAAACAAAAGAGCGTGCACAACACTTCCGACCAAGAAATCTCAGTTGTGAGTCTGTGTCTATAATGCATTAGTGAGAACACTCACGTGTATCCGTAGAGATTGATGAAGCTCTCCAATATGTCCAGCATCTTTGTCATCTGCGCACAGGACGACAGGCAAATGAGTTCCATAACCAGCTGGATAGGTGGCCCACTCTCACATAGTTTCTCCTTGACAGTTCAGAAAGGTTATAAAATTATAAATGCTTGTCTGCTGTCCCCTCCGTCTGTATTATTGGAAAGTACACACACTTAACTAGTCAATAATTATCGATTCAGTGCAGGGTTGCATCCCTGCCGACCGCCGACCCCAACCGCCAACCGTATTGCAGCCGACCAGTTGGGCCGACCGGTCGGCAGTCTGCCGACCAGTAAAAAAAAAAAAAAAAAAAAAAAAAACGTCCAGTGCATCCACTGATTTTTTCAAATCTGAGTTGGGGGTTGTACTGCGCTTGCTGAGTACAGCCCAAATCCGCTGAGAAACTCTTGGGGATTGGGGGGGGATATGGGGGGGTTGGGGTTGGAGTATAGGGGGGG